TTTTAGCAGCTTGAAACTTGCACTTCTTCAGACTAGAATTGAATGGGCTACAAAACTGCATACCAACCTTTTTTCTAAAGATTCTGGTTAAATAGTTGAAATTTTGGTGAAAATTTGCAGAATTTTTATAATTTTTGTACAAACTTGAAAATGTAAATTTATATGGTGTTTGTTGTATTACCAGCTAGGCTTTTACAAAAAAATACGAAACATTAAATAAACTAAAGACAAATAGGCAAAACAGGTTAAAATATCCCACTCCTATTATTTTGTGGACAACTGTATGTACATATTTATATGCATGTAAATAGGTATGTATGTACGTATGTAAATTTGTATATTAATTTAACCTTCACTCTATGAAATGTTTTTACACCCTGAATCCGTATATGTTCTAAATATGAAACAAATCGGACTATAAATACGAATTTTTCAAATATCTCGACACCTGCGCCACGCAGTGTGCTTTATGAAAACTCCACGCAAATTAATCGTAGCGCTATCGACAGCAGCAATACTTTGATATGAAACAAAATGGTTTTGAAAGCTAATGTTATTCCATTTCACGGAAAAATACTGGCATTGACCCAAAATTACTCCTTAACGCTATAAAAATTGGTAAAAAATAGTGTTCTTCAAAAAAAGACCATGCACAATCCACCAGATTTGTTCCATAAAGAAATTTTTTGTATGTTACAAAGTGTAGTGAGCTGCTAGAAAAAAAAAACAAAAAAATCAGTGAAAGGCTTTCCCTAAATTTTACAAGCTTTTATTTAACTTCACTTTTATTGTATGTACATATGTAGTATGTCCTGCAATCAATATTTCACCAACATCCCGATGAGCTAGAGACTTGAGACTTAACACATATGTAGCTCAGAACCCGATGACTATGCAATCTATGCAATCTGAAATAATCCGCTAGGTGGCGCAGGAGTCGAGATATTTGGGAACCCGTATTTATGGACCCATTTCGTTCATACATAGAAAGTTTTTTTTTTCAATATAGATTCACTATTAACTTATTTTAAGCAATTTTCTGCCGTGAAAAATTTTCCAGTATTGATATAAAATTAATAAAAATTTGCTAGTTCCATTTTCAATAAAATAAATAGTTAGATTGTCTAGATTCTGGTATACAAATTAACTAGGTGAAAACCTAGATTATACAATTGCAAATCCCGGTTTACTCGGTATTCGAAAAATCAAAACTAAAAAAAAAAACGCTCAAAAATATTCAAAAAACCGGTTGATGAAACTGGTTTGGAAAAACCGAATCAATCATCCTTATGTCGTTTTAGCTTTTAGCTCTATAAATCACTTCCACATAGATACAAACTATGTATGTATCTATTCATGTACATACATACATACATTGGAGCTATTCTCGAAGTCTTGCAAAGTCCTTGCACAGTTTGCAAAGCTGTCCCATGGCAAAACCGATTTTTACTATGCAATCTGTGCACCGTTAAAGGGCTTCTCAAGGCTACGGAAATTTCCCCATTGGGTATCTTCTTTTCTTTCTATAATCATTTACTTGGTCCATGAGATGCAAAGAACATCCAACATAAAGATGTTGCTGGTTCGTTCCTCCACCTCTACGCGGCTAGTTTATTTCACCACACCAAAAACGAATGTAATCGTACTGGAACGGAAAGAGATGTGCATCTTCATTATATTCTATATTCTTTGACGATTCGTAATGTCAGAAATTTTATAATCCATACAAACATACAAACGGTCAAGATTTTTGTCTTTAACGTTACAGTCGCACGTATATTTCTGTTAGACTATATGAAAGCTGTGTAAAAATCGAAAGTCTTTCATTTATCCTGATTATAAACCTCAAAAGCTACATTTTGTATACAGACTTGTTTCCTATCTTTTGTTATTTTAAAGATAAATGTGGTTTTAAGTGGCTTTTAACGTTATATTTTTTGGAAATCAGTTATATACATATAACGTCACACGTACGGAAAACTTGACGGATCCCGCAACGTTAAAAATTAAACTAAAGTATTTTAATAAAGATCTAGATACAAAGAAACTATAAAAATATTAACTTTTGGATAAACACGTTTATGAGAAATCTACTATAAACCGAAATATACGGTCTGTAACGTTACTTACTGTACTTGACTACATAGTACTTACATATGTATGTATATTCTCCATTTTGATCGCATGCGAGGCACAAGAGAAATGAACGCGCATGCAGTTAAAAATATGTTTATAAGAAATGGTAATTCTTAGGAAGAAGTAATATAAAAAATTTTTACATTGTTTTCAAAATTTTCTTATAGATGCATTCTTTCTGCATTATATGTAAATAAAATTTAAAAAAAAAAATTAAAACACCTGTATTCCTCTATTTTTCGGTTTAACTACAATTAGTTGCCACTTAACTACTCTTATTCCTGAGCTTTTCTGTTTTGGAATGCATTCTGATGATCTGCACAGATAACATATTTCTAGCAGAACTTAAACACAAGCGTAATTTTTCGCATTGACGTCAAGGTCAGCGGATGCTGCACTACATTCGCAAACTATCTTTTTTTTTGTCTTTTCACAGTGTAAAGAAACGTTCACTGCACTGACTGACTAGCCGCCCACAACCATTTCAGATGATAGCAATGGCGCTTAATTTTTTCACTTTATTATCTTAACCGTTGCTGATTGACTTTAATTCTTTCGCATTGGCGCAGATTTTTTGAACGTCCGATTTTTAACTAGGAGAATCATACTTTTTATTTTCATTTATCTCTTTCTTGACACTGATTTTCTAATAAAACATTTTGAATACGTGCATGGTCAAGCTGACAACTATTAAATAAATTTGCATATTTAAATGAAAGTATGTGAATCCATGTACATATGTATGCACATATGTACTGCACAGCATAGAATTATATGTTGATGTACATAGATATTTATTTATCGTTAGCGTAATTCACTAAGGCCCTAGCCAACATTTTTTTCGATACTCCTTTTTCCATAGATTTTGGTGGGATGTATTAAAATACACCTTCAGTAAAAATCTTAACGTCCCAGTACCGAAAACAAGAAAACAACCATTTTTTAAAAAGTCCTACCTGTTTTTGATATTCATTTTATAATGTTTTTTGCTCATTTATAATTAAAAATTTGTTGGTTAGGGCCTTTGTGAATTAAGGTAACGATATGTACCTATGGATTTTCCCATGTGTTTATTGTTAGTTGACATATTTTTAAATACATACTTTTTATATATTTTGTATGTAGATTTTCGATGTTTATTATTCTCTGTAATTACAGTATTGCAACGGCGGTGATTTGGCGGACTATCTCACTGTAAAGGGAACTCTGAGTGAGGACACTGTCAGACTCTTTCTCATACAATTAGGTAAATTTAAATAATTTAGAAAGGTATTGGCGTTGTTATTCTCAATTGTATTGCAGCCGGTGCCATGAAAGCGCTTTACACTAAAGGAATTGTGCATCGTGATCTTAAACCACAAAATATTTTGTTGTCGCACAATTATGGCAAAACTTTGCCTGCGCCATCGAAAATCACATTGAAAATAGGTAGGTCAACATTTATGCGATATTTCATTACATTCATTTACAAAATATAAACATTATTCCCTTTGCTTCTGCATCTATCTGCAGCGGATTTTGGTTTTGCACGCTTCCTAAATGAGGGTGTTATGGCGGCTACACTTTGCGGTTCACCCATGTACATGGTTAGTGGTGGCAGTATATTTTTTAGTAATTCGCAATTCAATTATATTATTTTAGGCTCCTGAGGTTATAATGTCTTTACAATACGATGCAAAAGCTGATCTCTGGTCTTTGGGTACCATCGTGTATCAATGTCTGACTGGCAAAGCACCATTCTTTGCACAAACTCCAAATGAATTGAAGGGATATTACGAAAAGAATGCCAATTTGGCGCCAAAGTAAGAGCTTATTTATTTATATATACTAGTGTTCGCCCAGCGGTTGAAATTCAACCGATAANTATGATGTATATACATACTTGTTCAAATATAACGGAAACTGTTCGTATGCAGTGTCAATAATGAACATCCAAGATTTGGATTTTAGCAGGGACCTAACTGTTATGATTTGTATAGTAATAATAAAACTTTATCCCTTTAAATTGAATTTCTATTTTTATTTTATTTGATCGTTATTTTGTAACTTTTATATTTAAGATCAAAAATACATTATCGTGTTGGATTTTTTTCGACCATGCAGAGACTAACAACATGTTAAGCAAAAGTTTAAAACTTTATACAAAATATAAATTTTGAAATGATTCTATATGTTATTAAACATGCGATATGTATGTATACAACATGTTAAAATTTGTTTGAGTCACTGTATTTCATCATTATTTTGTTATTTCTATATTTTGCGAGGTTATAAAGAATTCGAAGCGGTCTTAAGATTGGAAAAATAAAAAACAAAACGCTTATCGATTAAATAAAGGTCCAAAAATAACGATTATTCTTTATGAAAATGATAAAAATCATCAAATAGCAACTATATCCGCTCAATAAAATAGAAATTTTCATACCAAAAGAAATCAAAATAACGATTATTTTAAGTATTTTTTTAATCATTGTTTCACAGAATACCCAGCGGGGTCTCACCGGATTTACGTGACTTGCTGTTATGTTTGCTGCGGCGCAATGCAAAGGACAGAATTTCGTTTGAGAGTTTTTTCAGTCATCGTTTCTTACAGGGTAAAAAAATCACCACTTCTGTTTCTCCTAGTAAGTCAAAATAACTCGAAGTTTATTCGCACAAGCATACATACATATTTATATGTATGTACATTAGGGTGGTCAAAAAAAAAATTTTTAAGTCAGAATTGTAATGCCCTCACCCCTCAGGATTGTTCTATATCGAAAAAAAGTATACACCTTTTTTTATTTTGATATCAAAAAATATTTAGAAGTCGCTCAAAGCGATCAAAGTTTTCCATGTGTTTTTACATGGGAAATAAACAACTTTTCGTAGAAATGGTATAGAATTCTTGAAAATCACTATTTTTCGATCGGAAAACTCTGTTTCTCTTCAGGAGACTTTCAACAATAATACTCAATTATTTATTTAACCATTTTTTCAATACTAACGATTTTTTATTTGCCCCCCCCCCCCCCCCCCCCCCCCCCCCCCCCC